TGACATTGTTTGCAGATATTTGTGCGGAATAACCATTTTTTATTGCGTACGTAATGAGTCCATAGTTGCGTAGTAATTCAGTCAAATAAGAACCGTAAATAGGCCGTTAACAAGGTAATCTTACGGGCAAATCTGCTCAGTAAGCGAATGGATACGAACAACGCTAGTAATGGCTGCCGTGCCGTAACGCGAATGAGTCCGAACTTTTATTATCGATAACTCCTAAACGGTAGATTTTATCAAAATTTCTTTGTTATTTTCGAATTAAGTATGTAAATTTGCACTATACATATAATTATTCGGAAAATTTTTATTACACATTTAGCGCGGGGCTTAAAAAGTAAATTACCCGAAATTACTACAATGTGGGCTAACTGGTCATCCAACAACAGACGTTATTTTGTGTAAAGCTTTTCAAATGACCCCCCAGTGAGAAAGGTCAAGGAGCACTCCAGGATTTCACGGGTGTATGCGATCGACCAGTGCTATTTATAATTAGGTTCTATAGTGGGTTATCAGTTATAGTGAAGTGTATGAGTGTTGAAACAGATTAGTTTCATTTGGCCTTGTTAGTCAGACAGCCCACCATAAGAGGGGTATAAAACAAGAAAATCAAATTGTAACGTGGAACAACAAATTTATATACATATAAATCAATTTAGGTCTTTAAAAATAAAATTAATGTATTTTGGTTGATACAATATCGTCAAAATGTTCGTAGTAGTCCTTGCAAGAATGAGTTTATGTGTAGTTATGTGTGTATGTATGTATGAGCGTTATCGTAGGGTAGGAATGTCTTTGAAGTAATCGCTCAGTCTTAAAATGTTCCGTTCCTTTATCAAGTATAAAAAAGGTGAGGGAGAAAGGTAAAGTTCATAATAACGATCGCTTGACGTTGTCAAGAGACGTGTTAATACGCTTCTCTCTCTCTCCCTCCCCCCTCTCTCTCTCTGGTGACAGGCGAACTTACCCATCTTTTGTTTGTGGGGCTTGAAAAGGTCACTTGGGAATTCACTCCCGGATATGATTCGGGCCTTTCCATTAAACGATGAACAAATTTTCGCGTCGGTTCGCTAAAAGGTCCGTAAAAGAATTTGTTTCTGAGAATTAAAGGTTATTTGAATTTTGTTTTTAAATGTTTTCTATTGGCCGAAAAACATTTCGCATCAAGGTATGAAATTTCACGAGTTTTGTTTTGGATTCGCTTTTGCGTGTGTGTTAAGCAAAGTTTGTAAATTTTTAATTCCTAACAAAATCAATGAGTCGGTGCTTAGCATTTGAATTTTTAAATCTAGAACTTGTTTTTGTTCACTACAGTTCTTTTAAAAAATTAAAAAAATAATTGATATTAGGTTATTTTAAAAATAAAAATTAAACTTAATTTAAAAAAATAAGAAAAAAAAAAGAATTTTTAGCAATAATAGAAATTACGGGTAATTTGCTTTTTAAGCCCCGCGCTAAATATGTAATAAAAATTTCCCTCAAATTCTGCCTGTTCTAAATTTTTATCGCATCATACCATCTTATTCGAAAATTGGAAAAATATAATAATAAAAAAAACGCATCCGAGAAACATTGTCGGTTAAATTTAATAAAACGAAATAGTCTGCATATAAATTCTAGACAATTTTCTTAATGTAACAACTTGTATCTGCCCATAAGTAAATTGTCTAGGATTTGTATGCAGACAACTTCGTGTCATGATTTATATTTTAAAAAAATCCGGTGTGTTGGAATTTAACGTAGATCACATTCGATTGGTTAATCACGATAAAGCCCACAAGCTGATTTTTTAAAAGTATTCTGCTTTTGAAATTAGATTAATCTATTTCTCGCCTGTGGGTTGACATCGCCCGAGGAGGCACATTTGTAATTGTGTGCAAATTTTCGGGATAACAACTGAGACATTACTCTATTTATTGAACAATTTAGTTCATGCCACATTGACTGATAAACTCCTACAACAAAATATTCTCAAATTGCCATATTAGTAGAAAAACTCACTCTCTTATAATTTCAAAAAATTCAACCTTAGCGTTGCGACTGCACGCTCCACAAGATTCTATCCGTTAACAATGATACATATAAAGAAAAATTAAAAAAAAAAAATATTTCGATTAGCATTTAATTTTTTCGTCTCGGATGCTACCTAGATTTTACTAAAATCAAAATAATTTCCATGCGTGAGGATAACTGAATGTAAAGTTGAAATTATTTGTGTATTAAAGAAAAACCTTATACAGCTTATAATTTTTAAAAACAAGGATCATAACATTCATCGAGTGATTTGTAGGTTAATGCAACTTTAACATTTTGTTTGCGAAGGGATTTCGCCATTTTATATCATTAACTTTATTAATCTACTTTTTGTATGAATGATTCAATGTGATATATATATATATATATATATATATATATATATATATATATATATATATATGAATGTGATAACGAATATATTTTTATATTAGTGAATTTTATCAAAAACAAATTTAGTTCGATAAAGTCCTAAAGGACGAAACGCGTCACATGAAAACTTTTTACAATTTCTCTGATATATATATATATATATATATATATATATATATATATATATATATATATGAGAGAGAGAGAGAGAGAGAGAGAGAGATATGTTTGGAGGTACAAAATTTCATCACTGCCATAAACAGACAAAAAATTAGTTTTATTATTACCGCTCATGATAATAAAAAGTAAAAATGAAAAACAGGCTAGCTGACCGGTTTCGTACCTCGCTCGACAGAACTAAATCGAGTAAATTATATATATATATATATATATATATATATATATATATATATATATATATATTTTTAAAGATGTTTTTAGGTACAAAATTTAATGATCGAAATAAAAGTATAAAACTTAATATTAAGAGACATATTTTTTTTAAAAAAAAAGGCGAAGCAACCGGTTTCGCTCCCGCTCTTCAGGCTTCAACTAGAGATTTAAAATTAACACAAAAAATGTACAATAAAAGGAATTGTAATATATATATATATATATATATATATATATATATATAAAATAAAACAATGGACAAAGTTTATTGGTGGGAAGAAAAAAAAATTAAATGGTAACTAGAGGCCTAATATAAAGTCCTTCTGTTTACAAAGAGAAGGCTTTAAAGATAGAATATAGATGGCCTCCAACACATTTAGGTGGTAATTTGAATGGGACTTCCTAAGGATGGTAAAAACGTCACCACTAAAACTAACAGCACAATTATGGCTATTTATAAGGTGTTCTGCGATGGAAGACCCGTATGTATTGGTCAAAATGTCCGAGGGAGTGTACTTCCGGTTTCGGATTTTCGCTGGAATGTGTTGTTTAATTCTAACATCTAACCTTTGCACCGTTCTCTCTTTGTAGTACGAACCGCAACCATATTTAAAGGAATAAATTAATGAACTGTTAGGGTGTGGTGGGAGAACATACTTACGTATAGACGGAAGGACAGGCCTGGCAGAGAAAATAACACGAGTGTTAGCGGCAAAGTAACAAGGTCGAACTGCCGTAGAAACCTGCTTAGCAAACCTATCACTGACAATACCTAGCCGTAGGTACAAAAGACATCTTACTTTGTTAAATTCAGCAACCTTTTTTTTAATAATTGCTTGAACAATGCCTAATGGGTAGGCATTGTTGCAGAGAGTAGAAGCAATAAACCTGAGTTCATCATCCAACTTGATGTCCGAACAGATCATGAGAGCCCTATGGCTAAGGGTCTTAATTAAATTAATTTTGCGTTTCCTGGGACAAAAAGAATCCCAACGGATATACAAACCATTAAACGTCGTTTATGGTTTTTTATTTTTACTTTTTATTATCATGAGTGGTAATAACAAAACTATTTTTTGTCTTATATATATATATATATATATATATATATATATATATATATATATAGTCTTGTCTCATTAAATAAAGTAGACAAATTTTGTCTACTTACTTTTAATAGGATCCCCTCCTAATTACGGATAAGTTTCTTAGTATCCTTATTAAAGAAAAAAAGAAAATTACCATGTTGATGCATATTCATTTTATTCCAAGTACTTTCGACATTAGCACAATGTCATCATCAGGTCTTACATTTACAACAGCATGTCTGTCCACATTCATAATTTAGGAAAATTCTTGTCAAAAACACATCTATACATTCTCATGAAAATAATAAACATAAACTAAAAATTCTTGAATCTATCTATATTAAAAACATTGAAACCAACCCTTAATAAAATTAATTATGAATACTGCACAAATGTTTTAAAATGTTTGCATCAGATAGTTTAGAAATATCTAGGTTTTAACTAATAGTTTTAAATAGTTTTTTTTTTAATATTTAGACATCGAAATCCCATCGACTTGGGTATTCATGGTTATTATTGAAGATAAATTCCATCTCTGTTACCGAACATATAAACCCCAAAAATAAATCTTCGGGAATTAAGGCGGGACCCAGTTGACGTGTCATTAGAAATTTGTAAGGTATTCTGAAGCGGGGGGGAGGGGTGCAAATTGACAATATCAAAGGACATCATATGCTTGTTTTCAGAACACAAAGAAGAGTCACCAATGAGATTAGAAAAACTGAAATAGGTTGGAAA